GCTTGCGAAGGATCAGAGGCTAGAGATACTCTTTGTTACACCAAAATGAAAAGTTGGAGGTATAAAGAGAGACAGGGAGCTAGGAAGGAGAGACAGAGAGTCCTGTCTACCACGTTCAATATCTCATTTTCACTTGAGGGTGAGATGAGATGGATTTGGTGGTTTGTGGTTGTTGTTTTTCAATGACAGGAAAAAAGGAGCAGAGTGCTTAGGTAATAATAATAATAATAATAATGATAATTATTATTATTATTATTATTATTTATATCCCGCCCTCCCCAGCCGAAGCCAGGCTCAGGGCGGCTAACAACAATAAAACAGTACAAAAGTACAGCACAAACAACACTCTAAAATCATTCATTATAAAATTAATTAATTCAAGCCACTGGCAACCATTGGGCCAGAGCTCCGCGAAGATTGCTGAGGGAGGGAGTCAGGCTGTGCCCTGGCCAAAGGCCTGGTGGAACAGCTCTGTCTTGCAGGCCCTGCGGAAAGATGTCGAGTCCCGCAGGGCCCTGGTCTCTTGTGACAGAGTGTTCCACCAGATCGGAGCCACAGCCGAAAAGCCCTGGCTCTAGTTGAGGCCAGCCTAACTTCTCTGTGGCCTGGGACCTTCAAGATGTTTTTATTCGAAGACCGTAAGTTTCTCTGTGGGGCATACCAGGAGAGGCGGTCCTGTAGGTACGAGGGTCCTAGGCTGTATAGGGCTTTAAAGGTTAAAACCAGCACCTTAAACCTGATCCTGTACTCCACCGGGAGCCAGTGCAGCTGGTATAGCACCGGGTGAATGTGATCTCGCAGCGAAGACCCCGTAAGAAACACTTTTCATTCTATGCAAAGTAAGATGCATAGTACATATGAATGTGATTTGCCTTGTGTAGACACATGACAGCCACTCTCAAACTTACATTTATTTCCTGTTGTGGGTACTGCTGAGATACCGCATGCAGTAAGGAAGCTGCCATGCACCAAGTCAGACCACAGGTCCAGCTAGCTCAGTTACACCAGGTTTGGGACATTTGACTCTTGGCCTTATTTCAGGGAAACTACAGCAGGGGAGACAGCAGACCTTAAAATGGAGGGAACGAAGGCGGGGAGGCATAGGCAAACTCGGCCCTCCAGCTGTTTTGGGACTACAACTCCCATCATCCCTAGCTAACAGGACCAGTGGTCAGGGATGATGGGAATTGTAGTTCCAAAAACATCTGGAGGGCTGACTTTGGGGATGCCTGGTCTAGAGGATGGGTGATAGGTAGCAAGGATGACAACTTGAATAAAATATTACAGGGATCGGGGTACCTGCCCCATATAATCAATCACATGACGCAGAGCATGTACACAATTGTGAATGGCAATGCCCACCAACTTTGTGAGAGGGCTGGCCCACTCAAATATTTTAGGGGTGTGTGAAGGGACCTCAGCCCCTAGGAGTTGACTTCTATGGTGGGTAAACAGAAGGGTGTGGTAGGAACAGAATGTTTACCTTTTGTTTTCCCTCAGTGCATTGCTGGATGTTGTGAGGGGAGATCCCAGGAGGGTCAGCTCTGAGTCTTTAGAGATCTCCTTTCCCTCTTTTTAAAACCTCTTTTATAAAACTTTGTTTACCAGGCAACTGGGCATGCTGCAAATTGCAGTGCTGGTTACATTGCAGTCCCACACCATCGTAATTCACCTAGAGGCAACATATGCAAATTTTATGTGCATTTCAGTCACAGGTGTGGGTGCTGAGTACCTCACAGCTCCTTTGGTACTTTTCCTTCTCCCACATCACTGGCTCATGTTTTATAAGGGGTGTGCTGCTGGATCTGATGAAAGGCCTGCCTTGACCAGTGCCCTGTTTTTCACAGTAGCCAACCAGATGCCTGTGCCTTTTTCATCCATCTTGGCTTCACTTACTCCTTACTATCTGGTTTTTCACACAGTAATCTTCTCTAATGGGCATCCGTAGAGAAAGCACATCTTGCAGCCTGACAAGCGAATTTACTATAGCAAAAATCAGTGCCTTCTTTTTAGTATTCGTATTAGCGACGTTTGAAAATCACACATCTTCACCCAACGTGTGCCCAAGCACCGTGGTTAATTTGCTAAGCTGTCTCCGAACAGGATTCGTTCTTCCTTTAAATGTGGCACTGAGAGCTTAGAAGCCTATGTTTTTAATTTTTTTAAACTCACTAATTTCATTGTGCCTGACACAAAGCAGCATATCTTTAGAGTAATTACTGTATAACAGTTATTTTCCCCCCACAAAGTAGTAATTTTCCTAAAATTAACTGGACGTCCTCAATTATGTAAATTGAATATCTTGAAAATGTAATGGCTGTGCTGGAAAGAAGACAAAAGAACACAATGGGAAGCTAACCCCAAAAGAAAAGAAAACCCAAATGTAGAGATTCATTTTGGATAGAATCAAGGGCAATTACTGGTCCTGCTGTTAAGCTGACTGACACAACTTTTCCTCTTGGATGCATTCGTTTTTGTCTTGAAGTCACCATGGGTTACAGGGAGGCAAAGCTCAAATTTTGAAAAGGGAATTAACAGAATGAACAGCATGAGATACAGTGAGGGCTTATTTCCAAGGTCTCCTTAATATTGCCTAGGATCCTCTAGACCATACCTGCACATTTCATTTATTTATTTATTACACAAGTGTATAAAATGCTTCTTGGCCTAAGGCCATCGAAGCAGTGTGCAACACAATAAAAAAGCATACAAAAAATAATTTAAAATAATACAAATTCTAAAAAAAAAGTGCAAACCATTTCTACCAACTCAAGAATCAATAAAACTATTCCTACAGGTGTGCAGTTAATATTCCATAAATGACTGGGTTACCCCTCATGGAAAAGCTCCTTAAACAAAAACATCTTCAGTAGGTGACTAAAGATTATGAAGCTGGGGGCCTGCCTAATTTCAGTTGATAATACATCTGGAAATGTATTCCTTCCTCTGGCTTTAGCAATTTTAATTTATCCTTATGTGTTTGATTTATTATAATTCCTACTACAAGATTTATATGCTGCTTACTAAAAAATGCCCTGTGGTTTACATAAGAGAGTATAAAATATAAAACAAAATATTCAAATGAAACTACCAATAAAATAAACAGACTTTAAAAAAGTAAACAGCAAAATTACTTGCATGTAGATAAAATCAACAGCATTTCTGCCATTTTTCTAGCTTGCCTTTATTTGTTTAATTTTTTTAGAAGATTCCCAATCCATTCCAGGATACAATTGCATAAAAATCATGGAAAAAAACAAAATGTTGCCATTTAGTGAATATTCAGCAAATGTGGTATTGTTCTGAGGCAGGTATAGATGGCCTATACGAAGTGGACACAGTATCTTCACCAAACCCGTGGGATAGTACAGAAGAAAAGAAACTTTTGATCTCACCTTTTCCAGTTCTCCCCCAGATTTCTAGTCAAGCACAGCTAAGGAGGAGGCATGAAAACATCAATATTGCAGCTTCCAGCAACAACTGCAGGCTTGTTGTTAGAAAAGTGTCTAGTTTATTGAAAGTGCATGCCCACTTCTGACACCATGTAGCATCCCAAGGGTTTGGGAAGGATGGTTGGTCACGGTGTGCAAAGGGTCTCCTCTAATTCCAATAAGCAGCAGAAGTCATGAGAATCTTTATGAATGACAGAACAACAACACAGCATAGCAGCAAGGACTTGCTACTTAGGCAATACTAAGGTTCCAACTAGTTCTCCTTCAGCTATGGGGGAAACCACACCCAAAGAGGGGAGGGGAGCTTCTTATAGTTCAAGTAAATCTCTTAAAGAGACAGACGAAACACACACTATAACTATAACTATGACATACCCTTCAACATTTCTTCGATGAAAATAGGGACATCCCATTCCACAATGATAATTTTACTATTTATACCCCACGCATCTCAGTGGCTTGCCCCAGCCACTCTGGGCAGCTTCCAACATTTATAAGAACATAACTGAACATTAATTTTTTTTTTTAAAAAAAAAACTTACACAGGATTGCCTTTAGACATTTTGGGGGTCAGATAACTCCTCACCCTCCAATATTTCTCCAATGAAAATAGCGTCTCCATCCCCATTGTTCAGCCTGGACACTGAGGTCCAGCACTGAGGGCCTTCTGGCAGTTCCCTCACTGCGAGAAGTGAGGTTACAGAGAACCAGGCAGAGGGCCTTCTCGGTAGTGGCACCCGCCCTGTGGAACACCCTCCCAGCAGATATCAAGGCAATAAGCAACAATCTCACTTTTAAAAGACATCTGAAGGGAAGTTTTTAATGTTTGATGTTGTATTGTGTTTTTAACATTCAGTTGGAAGCCGCCCAGAGTGGCTAGGGAAACCCAGCCAGATGGGTGGGGCATAAATAAATTATTATTATTATTTTCTCCAACATTTCTCTCATGAAAATATGGACATTCTAAGGGAAAGTGGGACATTCCGGGATCAAATCTGTGAGGAGAATCAGAACTTACAGAGTTAAACAGTTCTGTGTGACGTCTCGCGTTCTGAGGCGTGGTTTGGTTCACATACGGGAATCTTTCTTTGTGTGTGAGTTTCCTTTAGTTTTTGGCTGAGAGACGAAAGAAATGCCTGCTCTCTCGCCGAGACAGATTTATGATGTTTTTCTTCTCATTAAAGGCTGTTAGAGATTAGCAAGAAGCCTGCGTTCAGTCTGATTTATTATCCACACACAAGGCAACACTTTCTACCACTGCAGAACTCTGCTAAGGACTCTGCTAAGAGTTCAAGTTTTTCTTATCGGCACAAGCGTCCATCAGCACAGGGGAACTGTGCCGGGCGCCATCTTATCTCAGCAGGTTATGGGAGCTAGCCAAGCTTTGGAAGCTGTTGCCACGTCATGCCTGTGTGTGTGGGAGAAGCCAGCTTGAGCCCCTGCCTAACGTTTGAGGCAGTGAAGCTTGCTGGGGAGGATCTCATCTTCAGGACCGGGTGCCAAGAGGAGCTGCTGGTTACGTGAGTAGGCTCAGCCCCGGGGGAGAAGATGGCAGATGGACAGGAGTCATACTCAGTCCCCTTTGAAAAATTAAATGGGAGCAACTGGGAGGAGTGGTCAAGGAAGCTGAAGGCCTGGCTGGTAGCCAAGGGTCTGTGGGAGGCGACCCAAGGGCCCCCACAGCAAGCTTCAGCCGGAGCTGCAGCAGCGGTTGTTGCAGCTGCCCAAGCCTCACAGAGGAAAGACCAGGAAGCCCTAGGAGCTATCGTGCTCAGTTTGGAGGGCTCACAGCTACCTTTGGTGGAGGGTCTTGACAGTGCCCAGGTTGTTTGGCAGGAGCTGGAGAGGGTTTGCCGAGACACCACAGCGGAAGCCAAAAGCCACGTCCCCAGATGCAGTACAGCCTCAAGGAGAGCTGCTGGCAAGGTTGGGGGGGCAGAGAAGACCAAAGGCAAGTTTGCAAAGTTTTCCACCGGTTGTTTGTGTGACGAGGAGGAACGCCGTCTCAGAGAGGGCCGAGATGGGCAGGGTGCCCTGCCGGTAACAGAGGGGGGGCCAAGCCAGAAGGCACAGTTCAGGCTTTTTCCACTCGTCGTCGTTTTGTCTGCGGGTCTCTTGACCATCTGTGTCGGTCCTGTCCGAGGAGAGCTAGAGAGGCCGGGCAGGATGTCTCTAAGGTCACTTCCCATGGCAGTCAGCCAAGTCCTCGTGGCAGCCAGCCAGGTTTCCATGGCAGCCAGTCTAGGAGAGGAGGCCAGCGTGGGAATGCAAAGGGAGGATGTGACAGAGGAAGTGAGAAGGACGGTTCTTCTTATCACCTAGCTGCCTCCATGGCAACGCTGAAGGACAACTCCGGTGAGGGCAGCATGCTGCGTTGGGTCATCGACACAGGAACCAGCCATCACCTGATGCCATCACCATCTAGTGGCGAAATGTGGAACTGCAGGGCTGTTTCAACTGGGAAAACAGTCATTCTTGCTGATGGCTCACAGAGACAATTAACCACTGTTGGCAATGTGTTTGTTTCTTCTTTACAGGCAGAGCTGGAAGTCTACGTTGTGCCAGGAATGAAGTGTTGTCTTTTATCTGTATCTGATCTTGTAAAGGAGGGTTATAAGGTTTGCTTTGAAAATGATGTCTGTTCTATTTCCAGGGGTGGGAAACAACTGGTCAATGTTGCATGTCAGAACAACCTCTTTGTTCTGGAGACACCTCTGGAGGTTAAGGGGAACGCTGAGACAGCACAGGCGCGGTGTGCTAACGTTCTCACACATGATTCGTGTGCTCACTTGTGGCACAGGAGAATGTCGCATAGCTGTTGGAAATATATCCAGAAGTTGCCAGAATGCACTGAGGGTTGCAAGATGAAAGCATGTGATAGATTCTTGGATTGTAGGGCATGCAAAAGAGCAAAGATAAAAAGGTGCAGTTATCCCAGATTGGAGAGGGTAACCACAAGGCCTTTTGAGGTAGTGCATACAGACCTTTGTGGACCCATGCCAGTGCTGAGTCTGGGTGGAGCCAGGTATGCGCTCACGCTGACAGATGATTTTTCGAGGAACGGCTGGATCTTCTCGCTGAAACAGAAAAGCGAGGCGGCGCAACTGATCAAAGACTGGGTTGCGGCAGTGGAACTACAGTTTTCCACCAAGGTGCAGAGCTTTCAGAGCGACCGAGGCGGAGAGTTCACCAGGTCTGCTCTGCACAGTTTCTTCCGCCAGAAGGGGATAAGTCACAGGTTGACGGTTGCTTTTTCTCCTCAGGAGAATGGCATAGCGGAGCGCAGGAACATAACGCTAGCTGAGGCAGCTGACACTCTACTGTTTGACTCTGGTTTGCCTCAGAGCTTTTGGGCCGAAGCTTGGAAAGCTGCCAGCTTCACTTTGAACAGGTACTATAGCTCTGTTGTAGGAAACACACCCTATTTTCTGCTGCACCGGAAGAAGCCCAAGGTGCATTTCTTCCGTGTGTTTGGTTGCGAAGCTTGGGTGCTTGTGCCAAAGGCTCAACGCAAGAAAGGTGACCCGAGGTCCCGGAAAATGATCTTTTGTGGGTACGAGCCTGGGACAAAAGGGTGGAGGTTTGCCTATCCAGAAGGTGATCAGTCCAGGATTCTAGTCAGCAGGAGTGCTGAGTTCTGTGAGCAGAGTGGTTGGTCAAGGATCCATGTGAATCCTGACATTCTCTCAGAGAGTCTGTCTGATTCTGCTGAGGAGGGAGAGTTAGAAGTTGAACCTGTTGATGAGGACCAGGTCTCTGACCAGGGTCAAGAACAGGGAGGGGCATCTCCACAGGTTGTTAAAAGAGAGCCCAAAAGTGAGCCTTTGTCTCCCGTTAGTAAAGTGCAGAAGGCCAGAAGACGCAGTAAGTCAGAGGGGGAGTCTTCTGATAACAAGGACACACTTGCTGGCCCCAGTGGGTCAGAGGGAGCACCTGAGACAGTGCTCAGACGTTCCACACGCGCTACAAAGGGGGTACCACCTGAGAGGTTTGAGGTCACCAGCGTGTGGGTTGGTTTAGCGCAGTGCAAACCTGAGAGTTTTGAGGAGGTTCAACAGTTGCCTGAAGCAGAAGCCAGGAAGTGGCAAGAGGCAATGGGAAAGGAGTTGAACTCAATGAGGTCCTTAGGTGTGTTCTCCACCACGAAGCTGCCAGAGGGCAAGCAGGCTGTGAGCTGTCGTTGGGTTTACAGGATTAAGCCCATAGCGTCTGGAGAACCACAGTACAAGGCGAGGCTTGTAGCCAGAGGGTTCACGCAGAGAAGGGGGCTGCATTACACCGAGGTGTATGCTCCTACGTCCCGGAGTGAGACTCTGCGCGTGCTTTTAGCAGTAGCTGCTCAAAGAGGGCACCAAGTGCACCACTTTGATGTGGATGTGGCTTATTTGAACTCGGATCTGAAGGAGGATCTGTACATGTTACCTCCTCCAGGGTTTGAGGGCAATGAGCCAGGTGTTGTGTGGAAGCTGCACAAGTCAATTTATGTTTTGAAACAGTCAGCCAGAAATTGGAACATGTGCCTGAATGAAGCTCTGGAAAGTTTGGGTTTCCAGAAGCGTCTTGCAGACAGTTGCCTGTACCTGAAGGGGTCAGAAGAGACATAGGAGGCAATTCTGGTGTTTGTAGATGATATTCTGTATGTGGCACAGACAAGTAGACAGGTGCAAGGTTTTGCCAAAGAGCTTGGTAAGAAGTTTAAGCTCAAAAACCTTGGTCTCGTTCAGGTTTATCTAGGCGTTAGGATAGACAGGTCTGAGAACGGGAGTTTCTTGCTCAGTCAGAAAAGCAAGATTGAGCAGTTGCTTGAGAAGTTCCGGATGTCTGACTGTGCAGGGGTCCGAACGCCCATGGAGATCAACTTCATGAAGGACAGTCAGCTTGGGGAGCGTTCTGAGTTCCAAAACCCTGAGGTGTTTCAGTCAGCGCTAGGGAGTCTGTTGTATCTCTCTCAGTGTAGCAGACCAGACATAGCGTTTGCTGTGGATCTGCTCAGCAGGGAGGCTACAAAGCCCAGTGTGAATGCCTGGCAAGGCATCAAGAGAGTGTTGAGGTATTTGCAGGATACCGAAGAGTTTTGCCTCATGTTGTCAGCTGAAGGTGACACACGGTTTACGTGCTGGAGTGACAGCGATTGGGCATCTCTTGGGAACAGGAAGTCTGTGTCTGGGCTGGTGGTAAAGTTCGGGGAATCCCTGGTTGGGTGGAAGTCCCGGAAGCAAAGTCTTATTGCACTTTCTTCCACTGAGGCTGAGTTCAGTGTGTTGTCTGATTTGTGCAGGGAGTTGGACTTCTAGCGGTGCTTGATCCAAGAGATCGGCGGGGATTGTTACTTGCCCATAACTGTTTGGGGAGACAATCAACCTTGTCTTAGGTTGGCAGAATCTGGACAGTTCAAGTCCAGAACCAAGCATTTGGACATACGTTTCCAGAATGTATGTCAGAGTGTCCAAGCAGGTTGGATACGGCTCAAGTATTGTTCGAGCTGGGAGAACCTAGCTGATGGGTTTATCAAACCCTTGACCTTCCAGCAACATGGGGAGTTCTGTGAAGGGTTGTGTTTGGGGTGAGTTATACTCACAGTTTCCCTCAGGATGCGAGACGAGAGGGGGGGTGAGGAGAATCAGAACTTACAGGGTTAAACAGTTCTGTGTGACGTCTCACATTCTGAGGCGTGGTTTGGTTCACATACGGGAATCTTTCTTTGTGTGTGAGTTTCCTTTCGTTTTTGGCTGAGACGAAAGAAATGCCTGCTCTCTCGCCGGGACAGATTTATGATGTTTTTCTTCTCATTAAAGGCTGTTAGAGATTAGCAAGAAGCCTGCGTTCAGTCTGATTTATTATCCACACACAAGGCAACACTTTCTACCGCTGCAGAACTCTGCTAACGACTCTGCTAAGAGTTCAAGTTTTTCCTATCGGCACAAGCGTCCATCAGCACAGGGGAAGTGTGCCGGGCGCCATCTTATCTCAGCCAAACTGGGACAGCTTCTCTAAATCAGGGACATCCCTGGAAAATAGAGACACTTGGAGAGTTTGCTATGATCCCACTTTTAATTACTTGTGGCAAATTGGTCTGAAAAATGTCAGACTTGCCCAAGGTCATCCAATATGTCAACAGCAGAAGAAGCTTAGAGCTTGGCTTCCAGCCACTGAATCATACTGGCTTTCAACAAATCCTAGTGTAGAATGAGAATGGAAGCTTTGAAGCAGGAGAAGCCTTGGGTGATTATAAAACTCTTGGTGTGATGGGCCTTGTAAAATTAAATTGAGATTGCAGGAACAATAGACCAAAGTTCATCACCAGACTGCCGCATTGCAAGGAGGCTATTAAGTTACACAATGTACACTGATTTCTCCCCTTATTGATAAGAACGAAGCCTTCAGAGGGATATTATAGGCTTTGAACTCTCTTATACGTTCTCAAACTGCAAGACTCAACTAAATGGGTGGTAATTATGTCATTTACTACACATGGTCTCATCTGGCTCACTGTGGACATCTGTAGAAGGGATCTTCAATTAAAAACACAGATAATGAAGAAATTCTGCATCACAACTAACTCTGAGCACCCACGGATCCATAACAAGAATTAAAAGCTCATGCAAGGAAACACTTATTATTTCTCTGATATCTCACATCTTTGATGTGCATTTTTATCATTCGGGCCACAGCCAATTAGCAGTATACCAAAGTTTAAAACCTCAAAGAATCTTTAGATAACACAAGTTTAATTTTGGACTACCAAAACTACCAAAGGGAACTTTTAAAATATGTTTCTTGAATATTTTTAATTGATAACAACAACAATAATAATATAAAAAAGACAAAGCAGTACAGTGATCGTATCTCAAGGAATAACTGGTGCTAACTGTGAACATTCATTCCACAAGCATTAACATACTGCTATAGTAAGTGTAACTCAAAACATGGGTGTATGTAAGCTTTGCCTTGTTCCCTGATTTTGAGCTATTCAGTATGGCTTTTCTTAGTGGGCAAATAGCATTTCAAATCAGGAAATATATCTACAGTGGTACCTTGAGTTACAAACACCTCAGGTTACAAATGCTTCAGGTTACAATCTCCGCTAACCTGGAAGAATTACCTTAAGTTGAGAAATTTGCCCCAGGATGAGAACAGAAATTGTGTGCCGGCGGCACAGCAGCAGCAAGAGGCCCCATTAGCGAAAGCATGCCTCTAGTTAAGAACAGTGTCAGGTTAAGAACGGACCTCCGGGACAATTTAAGTTCGTAACTAGAGGTAGCACTGTATTCCTGCTTTCTGCCTTTACTGAAGATTTACCTGAACAGCTATATTCTTTCAGGATGCTGAATTCTTATTTAAATGTGTGTATGCTGTCATGGCCTTAGGAGATACATGTTTCAATTCCACGAGCATCCTGGGAGACAACGAGCATATGGTAAGGGCTCAAGTGTCCTACTGTAAACATTCTAATGCAAATTGCTCAGAGTAAAACTGGCAGCAGCAAGTAGGATTGTGTGTGTGTGTGTGTGTGAAGAGAAGTGGGGTTTTGCTTAGTTCCTGAGCTGAGGTAAAGCCTGTGAGTTCATTTCTCATAGTTGCCCCTCCACCAACCTAAGCCACAGAGAGTGTAACCCAGAGGGGAAATAAATAAAAAGCAAGTTGCTGATTGTAAAGGAGTGGAATATTAGCCTCCTGGACCAATCAAAAGAGATCAGGTTGCTCCCCCCCCCCCCCATTTTCAGCCAAGGGAGAAGCTCCTTCCTAATTTAAACCTAATGTTTCCATGTTGGACAGCAACAATATAGATTTGATACTGTACAATAGACTTTGACCAGTGTCAATTACCCTAGACTGTGCCAGTGCTTCTTCTGGCTATATATTTCTTTTTCCTGTTGGTAAAATGTGATAGTCATAGTTGTGTCAAACAGTGAAACAAACTTGTAAAGCAGAGACTGGTAACCTGTAACCCTTCATATATTGTTGGGCTTCCATTTCACTTCAGCCTCAGCCAGCATGGCCAATGCTGAGATGGGATGGTGGCAGTTGTAGTTCTTGAACTTCTGGAGAGCTGCAGGTTCCCCACTGCTGTTGTAAAGATTTCACAGTTTTCAGAAAAAGAATGTCTGGTATTAAGAAACTGTGTGTGTGTGTGCGTGTGTGTGTGTGCGCACACACACACACACACACACACACACACACAGATTCTTCCTTTCCTGTAATACTAGGACCAAGATTCATCCATTGGTGGTGCTGCTAGAGAGATTCAGGAAAGACAAAATGAAGAATTTAATCACACAGCTGTGGTGATATCCATTAGCTTAGGTAAAGGTAAAGGGACCCCTGACCATTAGGTCCAGCCGCAAACGACTCTGGGGTTGCGGTGCTCATCTCGCTTTGTTGGCCGAGGGAGCCGGCGTACCACTTCCGGGTCATGTGGCCAGCATGACTAAGCCGCTTCTGGCAAACCAGAGCAGCACACGGAAATGCCGTTTACCTTCCTGCCGGAGCGGTACCTATTTATCTACTTGGACTTTGAGGTGCTTTTGAACTGCTAGGTTGGCAGGAGCAGGGACCGAACAATGGGAGCTCACCCCATCCTGAGGATTTGAACCGCCGACCTTCTGATCGGCAAGCCCTAGGCTCCCTGCTTTAGACCACAGCGCCACCCATGTCTCTGCTCCATTAGCTTAGGTGGCCTTAAATACTGATGACTTTGAGATTCAGATTTCTCCTCAAGGTGTCTAATAAAACAATTATAACATTCTAAAAACAAGCAGAAGGGTGACAGGTAATAATGAAAACCAAGAATTGTAACAGAAGAGAGCCAATACAGTCAAAAGCAATAAACATTCAGACCCATGGCTTAACTCTCCAGAAAGGGTTTCAGGTGGTGGCCAAATGCCATCTCAGAGGGGTGCTAAGCAAATCTCTCAAAGCAACAGTTGATGAAACCCCATCTTATTTTGGGCTGGGGATGTGTGGAATGGCCTCCTTAGGTGAACTCAGTGCATAGTCAGGATCAGACAGGAGGAGATGATCCTTTAAGTATCCTGGCCCCAAGGCAGGATCCAGTCAACAGTTCACCAGCTACATTCTTTCCCTATCTGCAGCTTCTGGGCACTTACATTAGTGTTATATTAGCCCAAGCTTGAAGTAACTAAGACATATCTGACCATGGGCAAGTCCACCTTCCTCAAAACTGGGTGCAGTTGGTGCACTCCTGGTCAGAGAGACTAACTAGTATTCCAGGAGCAAGGCCATTTATAAGACCTCCCACCAAAGCTGCAAATGTGATTTGTCAAGAGGCCAGAATGAAGCCCCATCATTGGATCAATTGTTCTCTTAGCCAGGAACATTTCCATCTTTCCAAGGGTCCTGTTCCCTTCTTCCAAAGGGTGCTTTCAGACAACTCTAGATAAATGTTAAGTATAATGATAATATTACAACAACTTTGCCATAAACAGCACTGCTGTACAGGGCCTGCTATACAGCACTGAATGCTGCCCATTTCATAATATTGTATGCTTATGGCTATATACTGTATGCACTGTCAGGCAGTTGTAATAAATGTGATTTGAGAGCATCAATGTTTACTTTGTTTTAAATACATAAAAGATGTTAAATCAAATTCATATAAAAAGTAAACTGACCAAAAACGGCACAATAACAGTAAAATGGTAGGCAACACTGTTTCCCTTACTCATTCTATTTACTATTGTAGATGCCATGGAAATATCCTGGCAAATTACAATTCATCACAGCTTTATAGTACTATTTCCCCGTGGGTATCCTTGAGATTTTATGGCATTTCACTACATATCTGAGCCGTTTACAGTATTCATCAACAAAAGTGATAGCAAAATAGCCTTCTGATGTATGATTCACAAGATTATTGCTGTTAAAACAATGTATCTTTCCTTCTATTTCTGATTAGCTGGTTTTCTTGAACACACATAAGGGAAATGGTATGGTCATAACACTGAGCAGAGAAGAAAAATGAACAGTGCACATGAAAGTTACCAAGCAATCTTTTAGAATGCTAGAAACATCATCAGCTGCCCTCCGAAGAGAGAAGAAATTTCTACTCAGAGACTGCCTTTATTCTGTAAGATCCCCCAATATGGTTATGTATGCCTAAGTCGTTTTCCCACAGTTTCCCAAGAATTAACAATTTAAATAATTGGAATATGAAGTGAAGTTTAAGAAACAAAGTCTATTCATCCAGGCAAAGTCAATGTTTTCTGAGAAGTCAATATGGCAAGCCCAATTAGCCTGCTACATAGACTGGCAGAGGCCCTCACATGAATGCATTGATACGATGTGGGGCTGCTGCTGGACTCGCATCTGACATGGAGATGCTGAGAGGCCAGGGACCTGTGCATTGAGAACAATCACAAGGGATTTTTGGTGGGATAATGCTTTTCCAAGTAGAGTGACAAGGGAAATGTGTCCTTGTTAATTCTCCTTCACCCCCTCAACAGCTTTCAGTAGCATCAACCATGGTATCCTTCTGGAGCAACTGTCTTAGTTAGGGGTGGGTGGCTTCACTCTGTGGTTGTTCTGATCCTACTTGGATAGCTGCTTCTAGAGGGTGATGCTTGGGAAGTGCTCTTTGGCCTGGTGAAGCTTTCAATGTGGGGCTCATCAAGGTTCATTTTTATCCCCCATACTGCTTAACATTTGCATGAAACCACTGAGTGGGGTCATCCAGAGTTTTGGAGTACATTGTCAGCAATATGCTGGTGATGCGCAGCTCTACTTCTCCTTTACATCTGCAGGTATGGCAGTGGATGTGCTGGACTGTCGTCTTGCCTCAGTAATGGTCTGGATGAGAGCCAATAAATTGAAACTCAGTCCAGATAAGGCTGAGGCACTCATAATGGGTGGTTCCCTAGACCGGATGGCTGGGAAGTTGCCTGCTCTTGTTGGGTTATACATCCTCTGAAAGGCAGAGTGCCTTTCATCAGCTTCAGCTGGTGGCATAGTTGCACCCCTATCTGGTTAAATGGCTCAGGACCACAATACCCCAAGAACTGCCTCCCCCCATATGGGCTGACCTGGATCCTGCTATCAACTTCTGGGGCCCTTGTTCATATGCCTCTCCACGAAAGGTATTGTTTTTACTTGTTACTACATTACAGTATGTACTTCTGTGTTTTTACATTGTAAACCATCCTGTGAACCTTGGATAAAGGGTGGTATAAAAGGTAACGGTAAAGGGACCCCTGACCATTAAGTCCAGTCACAGACGACTCTGGGGTTGCGGCTCTCATCTCACTTTACTGACTGAGGGAGCCGGTGTTTGTCCGCAGACAGCTTCCGGGTCATGTGGGCCAGCATGACTAAGCCGCTTCTGGAGAACCAGAGCAGCGCATGGAAACACTGTTTAGCTTCCCGCCAGAACAATACCTATTTATCTACTTGCACTTTGACGTGCTTTCAAACTGCTAGGTTCGCAGGAGCAGGGACCGAGCAACGGGAGCTCACCCCATCGCGGGTGATCAGCAAGACCTAGGCTCTGTGATTTAGACCACAGCACCACCCGCGTCCCTTAAAGGACCTTAAGGGTGGTATGGAAAGTTAATAAATAATAATACAATTGCAATAATATGTGTGATGCATAGAATCATAGAACTGTAGAGTTGGAAGGGCCTTCTAGTCTACAATGCAGGGATCTTTCACCCAACATGAGGCTTGAATCTATGATCCTGAGATTAACAGCCTCATGCTCTACTGATTGAGGAAAATTTCTTCTTTGTTCATGGAAAACATGTAACAGTCATGCAATACTGCCAGTGGCACGTGGTATGGTCTGGAACACCTTTCCATCATGGCCTGAAATGTGGACTCTCCACCTGGCCCTGATGAGGCCTTCTCTAAAGATAAGTGAGAGCAGGATCCTCAGGTGGCCAGAGCGCGGTGCGACTTCCCCAGAAGACATCCCACCCAAGCAGGCCCTTTGTCAGGTATCCCATCCCAAGTTCATGTTCCTTACAGGAGAACATGAACAGGATGTTGAAAGTCAATTTGGAATACATGCGGATAAAGGGGTGGAGTGGTATTTGGGCAGCAGCCCTTGCCCCAGATCTGTTTGTATTTAATTTGGGTTTAGAACACAGCCTGCATATACAAAACAAATTACATGGAGGGGAGCCTATATACGTGCATCTGTTCTATGCTTGAACTGAATGCATATAGATGGCATGTGGGGCCTGCCATGGTTCTGCCTCCTGCTTTACATGCATTCAGTCACCCTGGTCTAAACCTTAGGAACAGGATCCTGAAAGCCCTTAGGAACAATAGGTGACGAGCTGTTTATTTAGAGTGCCTCTTCAATTAGAATTTTAATAGCACAACTGTGTGCAGGATTGCAGCCAACAGTGTTCTCTCTTTCACTTGCTACTTAATTTTATGATGGGCTGAGAACTATTCTATTGCTTAACATAAATATCTTGTTGCTCGGTCATAAAAACTGTGGAAAAACAAAACAAAACACAAAGTCATCATTGGAAAGTTAATGAAGGAAAAAAGATGACAAGGAAAAATGTTACAGACCTGATTCACCTTGAAAGACATGGATAGGCACGGTTGAGCTATTTAAAAAAATGGAGAAAGTTATGAGCCTGGCAGATCTATTATTATTGCTATTTATCATTTATATAGATCCTTTTAGCAGTGCAAAGTGTGTTGCAGTCTTTATCTAATTTAATTCTCTAACAACCTTGCAAAGTAGACTAGATGATCATCATCCCCATCCCCATTTTACTGCACTGAATCTGTGGCTACTTCATACATTACTTTTCCTGACATGGAAATTATATTGTATCCTTTTAAGAATAGCACAAATGTTTTCCACAATGAATGTATTGTGGGATCTGCTGCATGTACCAGCTGCTTAGGGTTGAGAGTTCTTTGTTGCTCTGGATCCTGGGTGCCAGGGAAGGACATCAACATTTCTACTCCCAGATTGACACATTAGCCCTTTATTCGAAAGAGAAATGTTGACAGACCTTTGAGCACAAGAGATGTCCATGCACTGGTGAGATTGCCATGAAGCCAGGCAGAAGCCAAAACTGAAATTTGAACTAGTGGCATTCTTGTTCATGCTCTTAACTCCTGGGATATGTCAGTCCAAGGATTGCCAAGCTTTTTAGGATGATGGACACATTTGGATTTTCAGTGAGTGCCATGGGCACAACCTCCTCT